TCCTTCCTTCCTTCCTTCTATCCATCATTAGCTCCTTCCTTCTATCCATCATTCCTTCCTTCCTTCCTTCCTTCCTTCTATCCATCATTAGCTCCTTCCTTCCTTCCTTCGTTCCTTCCTTCCTTCCTTCCTTCCTTCCTTCATTAGCTCCTTCCTTCCTTCCGTCCGTCCGTCCTTCGAGCTTACACTCTGCTGAGTCAGGACCCCCTTCACCTCAATTGGGGCTTGTGTCCTGTTTAAATTAAGAAGAACTCAGGCGGGCTGCTTCATTTTCCCAGGGCTGAAAAGCTGGCTCCCCCCCCCCTTGCTAGCAGAGCACCCGTCGGGGGAGTCCAGTGTCTCCAAGGGGCTGGAAGGGCATTCACTGAAGATGGGTCTCTCTTGCCACCCACTGCGGATGAATGCTTGGGGGGGGGAGCATCGCAGGAGCCGTCGGCCCAGCAATAACAGAAAACGGCAGCCTCGGCCAGGCCAGGCCCTCTGTCCCAGGTTATTGTCTTTGGAAGGAGGCCTCCAGCCACTTATCTTCCTCTCTGGCAGCCTCTCCTGCGATCGCTCGGCTGGGAGCCGGTTGCAGCTTGCTGGCCAGCTGGAATCAGAGATTACGGCTCTCTGGCACACCCCCTGCATCCGGGCCAAGCCACCGCGGTGGTTTGCTGGCTCAGCGGAGGAGCAGCTCTGGTGTGGCTTTGCCCGAGGAACGGGGGGCCGCAACCTTTTAGGTGCCGTCTCCGATTGCTGTTCAACTAGAGAGCCAGCGTTGGGGTCGTGACTAAAGTGACAGACTTGACCAATTTGCTAAGCCGTGAAACTGGCCAGTCGCTCTCTCTCAGCCTGGTCTACTTGGCAGGGGAGGCGTGAGGATAAATCTGGGGAGGGGGGAATGAGAGCCCCGTGTGCCACCTTGGCTGAGCTCTTTGGAAGAAGGGTGGTGCATTCGGTGTAGCAGATTGATCAAGACTGAGACTCGGAAAGGCATCCGTGAAAGAATTAGAAAAGCTCTTCGAGTGTAAGGATGCGTCCCTGGAGGCCAAGACCGAGGTTGCCTGCACGCTTTTGTATTTTTCGCTATGGATTGATGTGAACGCTGGATAGTAGAGAAAGCTGGCAGAAAAAATTTTGATTCATTTGAAATACGATGCGGGAGGAGAGCTTTTCGGATACATCCTTGACCTCCAGAAAGAAGAGCAAGCGGGTCCTAGATGAAATCAAGCCCGAACTATCTCTGGAGGCGAAAACGTTGAAACGGAATCTACTTTGGGCCTATCAAGAGAAGGCAGGAGGATTCTGTGAAAAAGACAAGAATGCTGGAAAAAGTGGAAGCAGCAGGGAAAGAGGAGGACCAGATAGGAGATGGACGGACTCCCTCAAGGAAGCCACAAGGGTTCAGTTTGCAAGAGCTGAGCAGGGCAGTTGAGGACAGGAGATTTTGGATAGGGCTGATTCCTAGGGTCACTTTGAGTCGGAGGTGTCTTGACCTCACGGAACAATGGTTAATGTATTTTTTTTTAAAAAAAATCCGTGACCATTGCTTTTATGCCGCTAATTTTGTATCTTCCAAACACTGCTGTTGGTTCTCTTTTCCTAGCTTTGTGTCATGTTTTTTTTTTAAGATGTGCAATCCCAGAACCCTTATATTTGGGGCCAGAACGGAGGAGTCGGGCCGGCGCGTGTGCGCGTGCGTTCACCGGAATCACAGGTTGTCGTTGTCTCCTCTCTCTGCAGCTCCATCCTGACAGCAACCCACGTGATCCTGATCTGCACAACCAGTTTGTGAAGCTGAACGAGGCCTACACGGTGTTAAGTAAGGAGAGCAGTCGGAGGCAGTATGACAGCATGCGAGCTGCCCGAGCCGCCTGGGGGCCTCCGCCCGGCTATGGAAGGAGCCCCGATTTTCAGACAAGGTATGGCGAATGGGCTCCTTCTGCAAGAGAAGCTTTCCTGTGCAAGGCCAGCTTTATGCCTGGCTTTGAGGGAAAAGGGCCCTTTTTCTGCTTGAGGGCCAAATTCTGATTTGCAGAGGTCCTCAAGGGCCCAAGGGAAAGTGGTGAGGCTGCAAATACAGTGGTGCCTCGCTTTAAGATTGCCCTGCATTACGACGAATCCGCTTAACGACAATCTTTTTGTGATCGCAAAACGATGGTCTGAATGGGGGAATTTCGCTTTGCAATGATCGGCTCCCTGCTTCGGGAACCGATTCGTCACAAAACGGCGTTTTTTGAAAAGCTGATCGGCGGTTTCAGAATGGGCGCCGGGTGATTAAAATGGCTCCCCACTGTGTTTAGGGATGGATTCCTCGCTATACAGGCAGCGAAAATGGCCGCCGTATGGAGGATCTTCGCTGGACGGTGAGTTTTTACCCCATTGGAACGGATTGAACGGGTTTCAGTGCGTTTCAATGGGGTTTTAATTTTCGCTTTGCGATGTTTTTGCTCAACTGCGATTTTCCTGGAACGGATTATTGTCGTTAAGCGAGGCACCACTGTACCACCATGTTTCAGCTTCAGGCTTTTCCCTCAAGTAGCTAAGTCTTAAGAGAGAGAATTCCCGAGTTGTAGAATCAGACAGGACATCCTCCAAAAACATTGGGAGATCACTAAATAATGTTTTAATGTGGAAAGGGGTGTGGACACCTGGGAGGGACCCCCCTCCAAAAACCCTCACTGGGTCCGAGAAATATTGGATACCATCTCAGGGTCCGAGGTGCCACCCATCCTGTCTTTGTCATTCTCAAATATATACCCCATCCCCGAGAGGGCAAGAAAGACTTTCACGCCTTCCTGGGCCGGCCCTGCCATCCGACGGAGTGGGCAAAGCTTGGAAATAACCCACTAATTGAAGGCGTTAGCATTACAGCAGTTGCTTTTGTGTTAAATAAGGTAACAGGGCAAATGATGCATCTAGAGAATAACATTTTAAAGCAGTGTTTGGGCTTTTAACATGTAAAAAAATGAAGGTCAGTGCATTCTTCCTGTTTAATGCAGAAGCAATGAGTTCCACCCCGACCCACCATTTTTCTGAGCCTCGTGGCTGTTTCCTGCTTTTGCCACCCAGTTCCTGCACCTCCTAAACTGCCTTCAAGTGGAAGAACTTTTGAAGTATGAGTTGAAATATGACTCAGCTATCAGCCCAGTCATACATGAAATGGAGGGAGTGTCATGCCATCTGAACCTCTGCCTCATCCATCCATCCATCCATCCATCCATCCATCCATCCATCCATCCATCCATCCATCCATCCATCCATCCATCCATCCATCCAAAATATTTTACCTCACCTTTCTCCTAAAAAAGGAACCAAGGCGGCTCATATCATTTTTTAAAAAAGACAATATTTGGAAGTGAAAAAGAGTAAGTTGTTCAAATACTGTATTTAAAAAGAATTAAATAAACCTTATATTTATAGGGTTAGATGAATGCATTATAGAAATAGATTTAAAAGCAGCAAAAAATACAGACCGTCCCGTTTAAAAAAAAAAACCCCTCTCAGGTAAGTCAGTCACTGAGGGAAAGCCTACCCTGAAGAGGGAAAAAATAAATAAATCTCAAAATCTCTTGGGACAGCCCTGCTGTTTTTGTTCAGCAAGCGGTGGTGCGTGGCCCCCTCCCATCCTCCGGGCTCCCCTGCTCCGGTTTTTCAGCGAGATGCTCCTCCTTTTTCCCCTCAGGAGCAAAACGGGGCCCGGCAAGGAGAAGGACTTTGACGAGTGGGCTCAGCAATTCTACTACAGGGATCCATTCTCGGCAGAAGAGGCCGAGAGGAGACGGCAGGGAAACCACAAGCTGGTGCAGTACATACTGATGATGATGATGGGCGTCGCGTTAATTCAGTTCATAGCGTACAGGTAGGTTTCCCAGGAGATTCCCCTACCCGATCTTCTTCATCAACCCCAAATGGTAAGTTGAGTTGGACAGACAGCAGAAGACTCTCCCTTGTTTATGAAGCTTCTGAGGGGAGGCTTAGGCAGAAGTACACAAGGTTGTACTGGTAGGTTTCCAGGTGATTCATGTAACCATCATCACCATTTTAGAATTTGAAGCGCTGTAAGGGGGCTTGTGGGTCCTTGAGTCTAGTCTCTGCCAAGGAGGCACTGTGAGGGAATCGAACTCCCAACCTCCAGCTCCACAGCCAGATGCCTAAACCATTGAGTTATCCACCCAGCAGTTCCCCGGTTGCCAAGGGAGCTGCTGCTAAGGGTTTACTAATCACGGCCAGAATCCTCTTGCCTTGCTACCCCAGCAAAGGGGAAATGGCGTAACACACAGCAGATTAGCAAGTCCCTGCTTGGATTTCTCATTGTCCGCTGGTCAGGACAGTCCAGCAAGGCCCAGGAATTGAGACAAAGACGCCTTAAGAAGTGGCAATTAGTTGCTGCGAGTTACGCCGTTTCCCATCCGCCAGCAGAGCTACCCAAGTGGATTTGGGCCAGTGACGACACCTCGCCCTAGCTCCGTCGGACTGCTGACATTGAGAAATCTCGGGCAAATAACAGAAACAGGTGCGGTCGTGGGAAAGGAAGCCTGCGAGCTTGTGCTACCAGAAAAATTAATGGATGGACGCAGCGTATGCTCAGAGGCACCCTTGTTCTGGCAGGCCTTGAGGGCCAGGGAAGAACAGAATAGGTTTTCCAGGCCTGAAATCTACCCAGACCCATCTTAGGGTATCTAACTTGCCATAATTGGAAGACTCAAGACTGGGAGGCTTTCCTTTATTCATTCATCATCTTAGACCTGCAGAGCAGGAAGGGAAACGTACGGATCATCGAGTCCCGCATTGTGACTTGCCCTTAGATCTTCGTTGAGCCTGCTGTGTTCTTTTCGTTTGTTCGTCTTGTTCTCCTTGTATCCCTCGGTTTTATCAAAACCAGCCCTGGGCAAGACTGTGGCGCGTGCCCCTTTTCGTGGCACAGGACGAGCCCGTCCGTCCCTGTTGTGGGATGTGGGGAGGGGATTCTAAGAACAAGCCCAGGATTGGCTCCAAGGGTGCCTTGTCTCCTACCCATGCATTACCACCATGAGAACTAGAAGCATGACTTTCAAAGGGGGAAATGGGACCGCCGCAGATCTTCTGCAGAAGCGTCTCCAGCCACCAGGTCCTCTTTTTTCAGCGCCATAAAGGCTGATCCTTCTAATGCTTTGCTTTCAAGCCCTCCATCTTTTAACTCCCACCGTCTTCTTAATCTTCTTCTGCCCTCAAAGGATGCTTTTGCTGAGAAGCCCTTCTGCCTTTCTCCTCTGAGGTCACACATTCCAAGCCCTGGGCAACCTTTGATGTCCTCTTCCAAATCCTTCCTGGTCCTGCGTCCTTTTTACCGCAAAGGAGGCAGGGCTGGGCTTGTGTCGAATAACTCCAAGAGATCCATATCTCTTCAACATCCCTACAAAGGGGTTTGAGACTATGTAGGATCTAAAGTCAACCTGTAGTATAGGAGTCACTGCTTTGATAGCTTGTAGAGGAATCATGGAAGCGGTCTCGTATCAGTTTGCGGTATTTCTCCTGGAGCCCATTGCTGCTCCTCTTGACGTGCAGGAGCGGTCTATGACATCAAGCAGAAAAATTATCTTCCCCCATGAAGATGGGCAAGAGGCTAACATGTTACCACCTACCTCCTCCTCCTTTGCTAGGCATCTCTACAACCACTGATGGATCTTTCCACCACAAAACCAGATTTAAAGGGAGCAGGATCGGTGGCACCCATGTTTAAATTTGAAACAAGGTGCGTGGGAAATTGGCGGCTTGGTTTGCATTATGGTGGGAAGCACGATCAGGCCTAAAAACAAGATGTGCACTCCCCCTTCTCCTTATTTTGGCAAGCGCGATCAGGCTTAGAAATAAGACATGGCACCTACCCGTTGAAATCCGACATGGGTTCAAAAAATAAAGTAAACCAAGTGGATAATGGGTTGGACTGCTGGTGGTATTAGCTAGACATAAAAATGCAATAATGAGCCAGGGAAGAGATTTACGTGAAAAAATAAAGATATGTAATGTAAACAGTGTGTATATGTGAAGGAATGAGTTTGTGAATAAGCAATTTACTATTATTATAATACAATAGGTATTGTCCTGTTATGCACTTTTGAATGGATTTATAAAATAGAAAATTTTAAAACAGAACAAATATATAGAAACAAGTTGCACACTCTCCCTGGCTTATTACTGTAAAGAGAAATTGATTTTTGCATTGCTGTGCCACTAACATTCCACAGTGGAGGGGCAGGAACAGCCCCCCTACATTGATGGAATTTGAGTGAGAAATCTACTCTCTAAAGTATTTTTAAATGGTTTTGCCCCGGGGGAGTCACCAGCCCTACCCAGAGGCTGACGGAAATTTGTTTATTTATTTATTTGATTTATTTGATTTATACCCCGCCCATCTGGCCTATAAGACCATTCTAGGCGGTCGTTACATTTCTGAGGTTCAGCAAAAGAAGGCAGAATCACATCTGGCACCATGCACATGTTTGAAAAAACAGGAATACTGTATACAGTTGCAAAATGGACAGCCGACACAGTTTAGTCCATGGGGGCATGGGTATCAAAATGCCACACAGATAAAAGCATATCAAATGGCTGTGAATTTCTGCATGTAAGAAAGAAAGAAAGAAAGAAAGAAAGAAAGCCTCGTGTAGAATGGGGTTTGAAAGCACTAGGAGGTGGGGGAAAAATTAGACTCTTGATGAGCTTGAATCCAGCTGTCTATTGCCATTCTTCCTCGTATGGCATCTCTCTTTGAGTGCTCCTGGCTGGTCTCCATCACACTGGGGGTCCGTGTGTGGCCGATGGGCCTGGTGGGTGCTGGTTTTTGGGATCAGAGGGTTTTCCCCCCTTCCCCTCCTGGCTGAGTAGACAACACAGCCTGCCAACCGCACGCCCCCCATGCCAACCAGCCTGCTGTAATTCTAATCCATTGCCTAATTAGCCAGCCATGGCCAGGGAGAGCTTAATCGTGAGAGGCCTTTAATCAAGCCTAATGCAATTAAACATGCCCACTTAGGCCAGGGAGGAGCCGTTTAAGGGACACGAGAGGGGAAGAGAGACGGGGGGGGGGGAGACCCTGCTAAATCAAATCCCATGCCCAGATGGGGACATGAACAAGAGAGACCACCCTCCTACAGAGCATCTCCCAGTGGCACAAGCCTTCTGCAACGGCCTGGCATAAAGGGACGTTTTTCGTCATAAATCTTCCAAGCCTTTTTTTTGTTATTGCTTCTCAGCGTGGCAGGGAATCCCAGGGGTCAGCGGGTGCCCGTCAGTTCTCCAAATGGGGAGAAGACCGTCCTTGGCGGGGTGTGCTCTTCGGTTTTGAGTGTTAGGAGGACGAGGTGACTTTGGTGGGGCTGATTTTAAGCCAGAAGAAAGCAATTTGTTTCCCAAGAGGTTCCCCCACCCCACCCCACTACCTTTCCACTTTTTTTAAAAGCTTCACTGCTGAAATTCTGCTTTGTAGTTTTGACAGGCCACAGAAGTAGCCGTAGTCCTGTAGCAGCTGACCACTAATACAGTCTACAGATAAACTCTCCGAGCATGGAAAAGAAAGCAGGCATTGTGCAATTCTATATTTTCCATTTTTAAAAGGCATTATTTCTTCCTTCTGGCACAGAAAGCATCCTTTGATCCACCACCCCAATTAGCAGCAAAAAGTCAGAGGACACTCACATCCACAATCTGCATTCAAAGTGGCTGAAGTCTTTTCATGCCAACGCACGTCTGATCCGCGGTGGGAGGGGTAGGTGGGCACCTTTTTAGCCGATAGCCACCGGCCATCATCCTTCATGTAAACAAGCATCTCTCTTTGTCGGTTGTCAGTGTGGAAGAGGCTCCTCTATGTTTACGCTGTCCAGATGTGCAGAGTCGGATAGGGCAGCCTGCATGTGCTCTTTCTCTCACCCCTGGCTGTTTTCGAGCTCTCTGGCTCGCCGCACCTTCTGTAAGCAAAGTGTGCTGTTAAAAATGGTTGGCAGCCCCATGGCAGGAAGAATAGAAGTCTCCCCATATGGAAGAGAAGGAGACACTCTGATCTGCACATACACAGGACTCTATGCTGCTGTTTACCCCCTTCTGCACCAGAGACAGCTGACTTAGGGCATGCCCACAGTGGGAAGCTAAATTGGACTCTCCGTCTCTTTTGCGACTGCTTTCGATTTGGGGGACCCCGTGGAGACCCTGAGTCTTTTCAGTGCCAATGTCCACACTGGCCCCTTAATCCCATGCGGTTCGATCTGTGCCCACAGCTCCACTTCCTTTTGAGATGGCCTTTCTGGCAGTCCCAACCTCTCCCTTTATGGTCTGCCATCAAGCCGCTGGGACTGTTGGAAGGGTAGCAGGGTGGTAGGGAAAAAGCAAAGCGTGCTGCTCATTTGCTCCACCCTATAGTGCTTACAGGTTTCTCTGGATGGTTTACAATTTAATGAGCAGAATCTTCACTGCAGTACTGCACTTTAACCTCTGTGCCACGGGGGACAGTTTTCTTAAGTTCTCCATAAAATACAAACCTGTACATATATTCCAGCTTTGGAGGCGTTCGAGAGAAATTCGGAAAACCACCTGTTGGATCTGCTTTGGTTTGGGTTCCTGCCTTAAGCAGGCGGTTGGACTGTATGGCCTTTGATGCCCCCTTCCATCTTCATTATTCTATGAGTCTGTGATACCATGGAAACATTGTAGTCTTCTGAGTTTATCAGAGTTGTTTCGATTTTATATTGATTTTTTTCTCTATATAAAGCAATATCATTTTTTCCTTTCTCTTTTGTTTGTGCAAAGGTGATCTAATGCCAAACTAACAGAGCCATGCCGTGATGACGTGATTTAGCGCTCGACTCAAATCATTTGTTTTTAAAAATTAACAAAATACCAGGGAGAAAGAATGTGTGGAGGTGGCCATTCTTGCTGTCCAAAAACAGAAAACCACCCATAGTCACACCTCCTGATCTTTTGTAGAACAAACAATCGCCCAGGCAAAACCCCATTTGAAGCTTTTGCTGTTAGGAAAAAAGTTGAAGCCCCCGGCGATGGAGGGGACAAAGTCCAGACTGGAAATGGGTGGAGGGGGGAAGGATGGCTGATTTGCATTGCGCTTGACGTCGCGTGGTGGTTGAAAAATCGCCCGTGTTGATTCTGGAATAAATTGTGAAAGATTCTCCCGTGTAGTTGTTGGCTCAGTTGCCAGAGCCTCTGAGAGGGTGACCCCTTTCTAGCCCTTAGAAGTTGCAAACTCCTGGCCGGGCACACGGAATCGGTTTCTCCCATTCCCGGGTGTCAGTGAGGATGCACGAGGTCCCCAGAATCTGTCCGCAAAGTTGCAACAACGCAGATAGAAGGTTTCCCATCGCCGTTACTCTGCTCTTTGCTGCTCGGTATTATTTGATTTATACCCCGCCAAGAAGACCGGGAGATGAGTGCCAAGAAGACTCTCCTCACCCCATGCCAGGCCCCTGCTCTTGCCAGCTGTTTTCCTCAGAAAGCTGCCAGCCTTTTTTTTTTAGCTTGCTTCCAAATCCTCTGAGCCATTTCCCCACAGATAAAGGGCTGGGGGAGGACACCCGTCAGTCAATCTGCAGCCTTTCTATGCACACACACGCAACCAACCCCATCATCCCTCAGCTCAGAAAGGAGAAGTTTACAAAGGACTGTGGGGGCTGGCGAGGTTGGCCTGCCTGAGTCCCTTTCTCCCCTCTCTTCACCTCAGTTTTTCTGCAGCTCGGTGTAAAACACACAAAGAGACTAAAAGAGGCAAAACTATTTAAAATCCCTTTTAGTCATGATAATTGGGGAAAAGATGAAGGATGGGTTCTCATCAGCTCTTCTTCCTGCCTTGTTGAAGCTGGTATTTTTCTGCTGACCGGCATCCCCTCTTTGGCGATGTCGGCTTTTCTTCCGGCAGGGAGGTGATGGTACTAAAACCAGCAACCGTCCCTTGGCTTTCTTGGGAATCCCAGGACACGTGGTCAGGAATGCAACCAGGACCTCATTAAGGAAAGGCAGTTTGGCACTGCAACATACTCCGTTTCCCTTATGCAGGCGTAAATAGCCAAGAGGATTCTGGCCAGTGGCAGTAAAGTTGCATAGGAACCAATGACGCCGTGGTGCATTTTGAAATACAGTCAAGTCATTGTGGTTATCCCAATAGCAGAATTTGCTGATGAGAGAGACTCAGAATGTTAGCATCAGCGTTAACCCATATGAACAAATCCGTGCTTGTCATTTTTATCTCCACGAGGGGTAGGTCTTTTGTGAATCTAATGGGTCTTAACTGCCCATTGAAATCAAGCTGTCCCAAAATATTTTGCCCTTCCACGGGGATAGTTCATAATAACATAGGGCTGCAGAGATTCCATCATCTCCCTCTGCTACCGTGAATATTTTAGCTGTGCTCCGAGGAACAAAGAAGGCTGAGAGAATGACAGATGATGCCAGCATTCGACCCTGGGAACTCTGGCTCACCTACAACACTGGGAGAAATATGGATTTCTGGTTTTTTTGTCCTTCTAATCACACCGTTCACTTAAACATGTACTGCTTTCCTTCTATTTCTCCCTCTCTCTAATTTCCTACAGGCAGTTTTCAGAAATTAGCGCAAGGAAAGTGGCTGAGAAGAATGAACAGCTCACCCGAATATATAATGAAAGCAAGGAACGAGCAAGGTATGAATTTATGCAACTCCAACAGTCTTTCCTGCTTTTGCTTCCACGGGGAGAAGTACGTACAGCCCTTATCTCTGATACCCTATGAAGATGATCTAATGAGTTACCATGAATGATTTAGGGGGTGAGCGGATAAAATCACTGTGAAATGGGAGAATATGTGGAAATGTATTTTTTAAAAGTTAACAAAGAGAGACGAACCAGTGGTAGCGGTGGAAGAAACTGCGCATGTTTGCTTGATCAAGAAGTATCTCCCACCATTATGGGTCCTCCCACGTGATCCTAGGAGCGCAGAATGCTCTCTTTGACGTCCGTAGCCCAGACATAAAATTATTTCTTAGGTGTAAAAAAAGGCGATTAAACTACGTACTTCAGACTTTCCCACTCCCTCCGCATCTCGAGGTTGATGCATGGGGGGGGGAGAGAGATGTGAAGAAATCTCCTTAATCCGTTCATTTTCGTTAAGAAAGCATGTGGAGTACTTCCTAAGCCCCCCATAATTTTTCCTTGGCTTGAGCCCGTAAATAAGACAACTGCTTTGTGGTCTTAGGATTTTTGTGCAAAATGCCCCTGCATAAATCTAGTGTTTCCCCCCCTTAAGAAGATGAGCACGCAGGTGCTTTTGGACACCGAGCTTCAGAGGGCCGACGGATGGCTTAAAAAAGTACAAACAGCCTCTTCGGTGCTCCTGATTTTTAAACATTTGTGCAACAAACCGGCAGTGACCGTACTCTGGCACAGCGGCATGCTTTGTGCAAAAAACCGGTCTCTCGGTTGTCCAGAGGCCAGCGGAGACCCGCAGCAGTTAATGGGGATGTCTTGGAGAAGAATTTGCAATACTCCTTGTTTCTTAACACAAACATGAGATGAACCAGGTTTTGTGAGACATGCTGCTCCTATGTGGATGTCCACAGCACGGCCCAGTGCAACTGTAGGATAAATCGGCAGACAGGCCTTTGTGCTGTGGTTGGGGCTGCTTTGGAGAATGGGTTCTTGGTGTGAAAAAATCCTGAGTAAGTCACACCTTATTCCTGTCATTGGGGAAACTAGAAAACGGGTCCACTGGACTTACCTGTACCCCTTTTCCTTCCCTGCAGGGCTAAAAGGAAGAAGCGGCAGCAGCTGGAGCTGCTGTATCAGAAGCAGAACGAATTTGTCCAGCGGTATTACACGCGCTGCAAGCGGTTCGCTGCAGCCCCTGGACGCTTTGGATCGGTCACGGATCCTGCGGCGTCCATCCCCACTGCCAAATAAAACTGAACAGGAGCCGAGATCCCAGTGTTTCACCGTCTACCTTCAGCCCTTGCCAGATTGTGGGGGGGACACTCACTACAGGAGTCTAGGGGGGTCTGTGAGCAAAACAGGGTGCCCTAGGCTGCGCCCCCGCTTTCCTCCGGCTCAACTTCTCCACTTTTTGGCCTTTCCGAGAGAAGCGTCGTCCTGCAGCGAAGCAAGGGCTTCCGCGGTTACTTGCATCGATCCATTTTTCTCTCTGTTGCGGTAAAAAGCAGAACGAGGTGCTCGTCTCCTCCGTTGGCGTGGTTTCAGCGCACAGCTCTGTGTGACCCACGCGGCCTGCCCCCTGCCCCCTAAGCTCACCCACTGTCTTCAGGTATGGCAAAGAATACCATCCCGTCATCTGGGACAGTGTCCCGTCGCAATGAAGAAAAGATACCAGTGTCGCTCTGGTTGGGTTTGATGCTTGGAATTTGGGTTCATGCATAAAATAGGGCAAAGCAGCTGCTTCCATGTCTGGGTGCTTCGGGACTACATAACTGCATTTCCCACCCCGTCTGCCCCATAACACGTGCTAAGGGTGCAATCAGCGAGGAAGCGGTGGACTGAAAAGGTCCCACACAGGCATTGTTTGAGTCTCCACGCAATGCTTTGCACAAGGGGGAGACCGTAAGAGAAAGAGGGGAGAGGGTGTCACGGCCCCCCTTTGGAATTAAAGCAACCTCTGTGGCAAGGATTCTGTTTTCCTCCGGTCGGTCGTTGAAGAGAGGGGACGCCCAGGGAGGATTACCCAGACCAGAGCCGCTCTCAAGGGAAATATGTGCGAAATGTGGGTTTAATCTCGCTGTGCGCAAGGACCTGAGCCGGCAGAAAAGGCTCTCGCAGCCATGGAGGGAGGGGGGGGAGTGTACACTCGAGCAGCCCCCAGAGATTGTCCCCATGTTGTCCGCACCGGGTGTCCGGGTGGACAGGCTTAACCATGGAGGGAGGGGGGGAGAGTGTACACCCGAGCAGCCCCCAGAGTTTGTCCCCATGTTGTCTGCACCGGGTGTCCATGTGGACAGGCTTACACAAAGTTTGGGGAGTATGGCCTGTGGACGGGAATGTGTGCACAGAGACGGAAAGGAAAGAAAGCTGGGAGACGTGAGGTGAGGTGGGGAGTATGGCCTGTGGACGGGAATGTGAGACGGAAAGGAAAGAAAGTGGGGAGACGTGAGGTGAGACCTGCAGAATCAGATCACGGCACGGACGCCTCCCCTGCCTGGCACATGGAACTGCGCCAAAAACTGCTCTGCCTGTGGAAAGCTAGCATCTCAAGGACGAGGCAGAAAGTCGAGCCCTGCTTGATGAGCTAGCTTTTTGGATGCAACCACCCTCTGCTTACAAGCTTTGTTAGCCACCCAAGGATTGGGTCGCTGAGCCTGCCCTTCGCATCCGTCTCCTGTGCCGTGTGGCTTACGCTGTTGTGACGCTATTTCAGATTTCGTGGAGCAGCAGAGAGGGGCTGAGAAATCCAGCATGAAAAGGGTTTGCGGTGATAAAAGGAGGTGTTGGCCTTCTCTTATCTCAACTGGAATGTCCTCCGCCCCTCCATTCCCCCCCCTTCTCAGCTGATCCAACCCTGCTCTCCCTTTGCTGCCTGCCGGTCAGCAGGATTGATCGGATCCTGCCTTGAGCAGCTGAACTCGGGAGATGCTGGGGCTTCATTTTGCTTGGAAATGCAGTCCCTTGCCATTTGACAGCACTGGCAGCATTTCAAGTGAAAAATTAAGACGATCCATCGGTCAGATATTCTTGGAGGTGCTTTCCCACAGGGAACGGGGTTGGAGCCGATGGCCTTACGGGGGCTTTTCCTGGATAAAATATCTCTTCTGGGTTGAGGGTCTGTTTCCAGCTGTATTTTAAAAATAACATGCAAAGAAAATGGAGCATACACTTCATGTGTGAGAGTGGGCCATGTGCCGTTGTGTACCGCGCGACCAAAACTGGCAGAAATGAGTCAGGCACTCTGTACATGCTCAGAGATGGAGTCAAGATCGGCGCTCTTGTCTTGGGCTAGAGGAGAGCAGTGGTGCTGTGTTTCTTAAGCTGACATCAAAACCAGAAACGGCCTTCTGTGATGTAGCGATCCGTCAAAAGTATTACAAGCCCCATCCTCCCCATCGTGATGGTCTAGTGTCACTAGTTAATCTGGATAGCAGCAAGTTGGAAAGCTATTTTTTTTTAAATGTTGCTGGTTTCTTACTGACTGAAGTTCAATATTCTACCATTTGAAAGGAGCTTCTCGTTTCCCTACATTTAGTTCGAAACCTCATGTTCGGCTGAGACGTTGGTTCCAGGTGGAAGATCTGAATGACCGAATGAGCGGCGCTTTAGAGACCCTGATAGCTCCTAGGCCAGATGGCACCGAGATCTAATGGGCAATGCCAGATGCGAATAATTTTTTTTTCACATTTGGGGTTCCAGGTGGAAGATCTGAATGACCGAACGAACGGTGCTTTAGGGACCCTGATTGCTCCTAGGCCAGATGGCACCGAGATCTATTGAGCAATGCCAGATGCGAATAATTTTTTTCACATTTGGCTATCACGGAATCATAGAATAATTGAGTTGAAAGGGGCCTCTAAGGCCATCCAGTTGCTCAAGGCGGGAATATAAGTCAAAGCAGATCGGGCAGAGGGCGGTCCCATTTTCTCTTGAATCCCTGCCTCCAGGGTTGGAGCGCTCAATGGGTTCTGCTTTCAGTCTCTGTGAAAACACCAGAGCTTCTCTAAGGCACTATCCTTTCTGTTGAAACCCTTAAAAATGAGTAATGCTTCTTTGGGTCAAGATGTTCTTTAAGGCCCGTATGCAAAGTGGCGCAGCTAGGGAGTATTGGAGTTTTTTAACTGAATATCTTCTCGCGCCTCCTGTTCTTTTGACACCCGTGATGGAGAACGAATCCCCATCCGGGACTTTTGTTCCCATCACACCTCACTGAGGCGAGGGCTAGATCCGATGGGAACGGCGCGCCAGTAATAACTGGAGGTTGCATCCTCTTTCTTCTCCACCTCGGGAGAAAACGTCCTCCTTGGAAAAGACAAGAATACTGGGAAAAGTTGAAGGCAGCAGGAAAAGAGGGAGACTGAACGTGAGATGGATTCACTCAGTAAGAGAAGCCACAACCTTGGTTTGCAGAGAGTGGCTGTTAATAAAGCATTTTGGAAGGTCACTGATTCTTGGTGTCCCCCTAAGTCAGAAGAGGTTCAACAGTACATAACAACAACCTTAACTGGAAGGTTTTGGGTTGCCTTCCTGGGCTTTAGAAAAATCATGCTACTGTACTTTTTTTAAAAAAAAATGCAGATGGCCAGCCCTGGTGCAACATGGTGGTTGTAGTCAAGAATCTAGACTTCCACCCAAAAATCCTGTCCTGATGTGGACACCCCTGTTCATCTACCCCGTGTCTGATTCTGTTTTGGGGTGGTGTGGGGTCTTTCTCTGCAACCCACCTTCCTTTGGGGGGGGGAGTGGATCCTTGCCTGATTCTCCACCACAAGGTGTATGTGTGAGTGGTGTTTTTGTGTGTCTTCTTTTATAAGAAGGTGCCCCTTCCTCTTAAAAAGAAACAAAAATTGGCCACAGGATGAGAGAAATCTTTTTTCTGCCCGGGGTGTGCCTGTTACTCAGTTATTTCAGCACTGGATGCATTACCACAAGTGCCTCCTCCTCCTCTCTGAACTGCCAAACTGGAAGGGACCCCCCTGGATCATCCAGTCCAGCCCCCTGTCCAGGAGGCCCAGTGGGGGGACTCGAACTCCCAACCTCCGGCTCCACAACCAGAGAGACCTCAACCTCTAAACTCTCCAAGAGTTCCAACTTTTTAAAAAACCAGCAGTGACCAAGGAAGTAACGAACAGTCCACTACCCTCCAAGGTTACTGAAACTCTGCTGCCTGCGGAGGGGTTAAGGACTCGGAGTGGAGCCTCCACGTCCAGGAGTAGCCTATCTTGCAGCGCTCTCTCTTCTTCTGCGCCCTCCTCTTTTGCGCAGCTTTCCCTCCCGAAGCCTCCAGGCCGTGGCTTTGTTAGATCACCTTTCCCCCCCCAGCTAAGGGCTTAATTTTGAGAGGTGGGGGTGGGTGGGAGGACTGCCCTTAGCAGCATCTTCACACACACACACCCTCCCTCTCCCTCTGGCTTGTCCCCAGCATCTGCTCTGCCTGCTCCAGCGGCTCGACTCTCCCTCCCCTCCTTAGGGTGGGATTTGAGCAGAGTCACATGAGCCGGCGGGAGTCCCCCTTCTCTCTCTTTTTTCTCACTCTCTCTGCCAGCAGCAACAGCAGCAGCTCCTCCCTGCCCGCTCGCTCTCCTCTATTCTGAGCCCAGATCGTCCCCGGGCACCCCCAGCTCCGTGGGCATCAGCTGCTGCCATGCACCTGTAGCCCACCACCACCTCCATCACCCCTGCTTGGGATCCCCAGGTAGGAACAGCATGGATTTCCCAAGGGAGAAAGGGGCCTCGGTGGGCAGCCGGATCTGAGCGCCCATGCCCTTGCCCAGGGGCCATGCCCAGCCTTGGCGCTGCCAACGCCTCCCTCTGGCCGGGGGGCGCCTGCTCTGACTTCTTCATTGATTGGGATCCTCTTTGGATGGAGAGTTTCCTTCTCCCCTCCCAGCTGGACCCCGCCGGTGGATTGAAGGGTGCCCCCTGAAGAGGTGCCAAGTTTGGCCAAGGGTGCCCACCCCGTCGAGAAAGGGAGTCTCTCGGAGTGTGAGCACGCTTCTCGGGCAGGGGCCCCCTTGGCACGGCCATGAATGCCCCCTGCAGCGCCCTTCCGCTCCTGCTGGCGACTACTCTGCACCTCCAGTATTGCGCCGCGACGGTAAGGTGGGCACCGGGGTCGAGCGTGGGTGGGAGGGAGGGAGTTGGCACGGAGGAGCCCCTGACGTTGGGCAGGGGAGAGCTGAAGGAGCAGAGAGAGATCGAGAGAATGAATGCCATAGAATGGGCATGAGGTGGCAGACCTTGGCAGGATGATCTGGGGGGTTGGCAGTCTTGAAAAAATGCAGTGCCCACCCTCTGGTAAGGTGGAGCAAAGAGAGGACAGCCAGGATGCAGGGGACCCTCTTCTCCCCCCCCCAGTGTCTCCAGGGGGGTGCCCCCTTCCTGGAGATACAGAACCCCAGATGTTGTGCCCGGGAGGGGGGGCAACCCCTGCTCGAAACAGAACTTCTTGAAGTTAGGCATCTCACAGGATCTGCTCCATTTTTTTGTAAAGCGTTTCTCCGTCTCCTTAACCTCATCCTCCATTCCATCTGGCCACCGAAGACGGGAGTAGCTGCCCCAAAAAAGCCTACCGAATAAAGCCTTTGAGTTTTTGAAGGTGCCACAGGGCACCTCGTTGGTTATTTTGGCCGCCGCCTCGCACAGCGGCATGTCTGGGAAAGAAGAGCCATAGTAATAATATAGTATTAAGCATCTTCCCGCAGCCCGCATTTGGTGTGAGCCGATCCACCTCCTGGAGAGGCGTGTGTTGGACACTTGTGATTCCCTGGGGGTGCCCTCAGTAGCCCCCCACCCCACCCCTCTGAGGTGCGCTCGGCTGCACACATGCTCACATGTTCGGGCTCTGCACTATGAGAAAGACAGCCGGCCGAGGGCATCTTGCGGAATTGTGGCTGCCACAGATTAGTGACCTTTTAATGCCCTTCACCACATTTTCCACATTCTTTCCCGAGCATGATATGGGGACAGGGGACGGGGGGGACAGAGGGATGAAGAATGACATGTTCATGTTACATGCGAACATGTGCCAGTTGTGGTGGGAACTTACAAGGTGCAGTAGGAGAATCTGGTGACACCGTATCTGGGAAGAACTTCGGGGTAGACGTTGGAACGGGGGAACGGAAAGCTAAAACAAGCAGGCTAGGCTTTAACACATTTTGAAGGAAACACAAATTATGTGTGCTCCCCCCCCCGGTCAAAACCAGTGGCCAAAATCTTCCAGCTGTCCTGCTGGGTGGCAGGAGCTAGCCGTTTTTAAATACAGAATCAATTGGGTTTTTCCAAAGGTTTTCAGCGTGGGCCTCTCTCTCTCTCTGTGTTCACCTTGAAATGTCCCCAGCATATCACAGATTTCCTGTGTCTGCCTGTCTCTAAACAGCGGCTAGAGAGATTCTTAGGATTTAACTGTTATAAGATGACCCTGAATCTCCAAAATGGATGATGTGGTAATATTTCTTCCATTTCCCCCCCTCCCTCAAATGTACAAAAGTGCTCGGACGAAGCTCACAACAGTCCTGTAAGGTAGGCTGCTGTGCATGCACCTGTACGACGGACGCAGGCATGTCATGGCTTAATGCTAAGTGTCATGCGCAGAAATTGTGTGATAGAAGACCATGTTCAAGCTCTTTTATGAAGCATGGACAGCACCCATGTTTGCCCGCTCCCAGTCCTACCTCGCCCTGTGAAACTGTGCGCCCATATTTTCTGCCCTCTATGGGTAGCGCTCAGGGCCAGTCCTACCTATAGGCGGAATGAGGCACTCAGATCATAGAATAGTGAAGGGGCCTATGAGGTCATCCAGTCCAACCCCCCTGCTTAATGCAAATGAAAGGGATACAAATGAAAGGATGCTGAAAGGCATTGGATGCGAGGCTTATTTACCACCTGGCCTGTCCCACTGAACTAGAACTAAATTCCAAAAGATCTGCCAAGGAAAAGATCTCTGAGCATATGCAGAGTGTGACAGGTCACCCCTTTGGATCCAAATTCACTCCTAAGCCATTTCCCTTCGTCGGCACAGAAATAAGATCCAGCCGCCGTCTGGTTGATGTTGGGGGTACAGAACGCGAGGCCCGCGGTCTTCTTAACTTCAGGTAGCCAATGATCTTGGGTTAGCCGTGGGTCGTGTTTCGCACACATCGTCACAGACCGACACCCTCCCGGCCACCGCGGTGCTGATACCTCCTGTCTCCTGTTCCCGGGGATCAAACTGGAATCGCGGTTTTAAGACAGATTTCCAAAAGTCCTAGAAAAGCAGGAGGAACACGCAGGTCAAATAAACATCAAAGTGCTTGTTCGTCAAAGAGCAGCTTCTACAAGCAGTTTGACTAGATCATCCAGAGGGATATATACAGTATATATATTTTTAAAAATGGGAAGATGATTTTGAGATTCTCAACATGTGCTATGTGTTTTGCCTCATGCTAGCGGCTTGCGTCTGAGCCTCAGTATTCCTCATCTGCAAAATGGGGATATTCATTTGTCGTTCTGACCCAAGTCATTGGAGCCCGTCTGCCCGCTATGTTGAGAGAGTTTTGTATACGAATCTTTGCAGGGGTCTTTCTTCTGTAGATAAAAAGTGCGGTTCATGGGACGCAACAGCTAATTAAACGCTTGCGTTTGGTTCCAGTTTGGTGGATTGACTTAGATGGCTTGAAAGGAAAGGTTAAGCAAATTCGTAGAGAAGGAGTGAAATCCATGAACCTCAAAGCCAAGAGAATGTCTTGTAGAAAAGAGGAAAATGCTGTGGAGAAATAGTAAGCACACAGTATGAATCTTGGTCTCATTTTCCTTATCATAAAAATCTGAGTTTTTCGTAGGAGAATAAATTTAAAAGTTCACCTTTTCGGATTCTAGAATTCACTTGTCCTTGGGGTCTAGAAACTTGGTTTTCTTCAAAACGAAAACCGAGCTTCTCAACCTGATGTCCTTCAAGAGACTCTGAACTTAACTCAGACTGTTTCCCAAACTCTTTTTTTCTCCCTCACTTCCATGATTCAGTCAAACTTTGCTTCTAGGTCTGTGAAATCTGGTTCTTTGAGTAACTTGGCTTTAGGCTTTCAGCAGATCAAGCTGCTAGTCCTTAAGATCAAGGACAACCATCAAGAAACAGAATGAGGGAAAACAGGCTGTGTTTGCCTCCCTCACAGGAGAGTCCTGTCATTATTTGTTCAAAATGTTTTTAACCCACCCTTCATCTGAAGGTACCGGGTGCGAAACACACACCCCTCAAATGATCTTGGCATACAATATAACAAAAAATGCAAAACATTGCAATGAAAACAGCGAATACGTTTTTGCTATCAGCTCCAGTTTGGCAAAGGGCCAGTATAAATAATGCCATTTGCCACCCTCCAGACCCGCCTGCGTTTCGTTTCCTGCTGACCATCCTGCCTCACCTCAGCCTCTCAGCGCTTGTTATTGTTTATACATGCCTGAAATTCTGGCTATCATGTCAGAGAGTTAATATAGCGGGCTTTAGTTCACAAAAAGCTAGTGCTGTAATAAATGTATTAGGACCAACCAACCAAGCGCTGGACAAATGTGCAAGCTTCAGAGTTCCCCAGAACTATTCAACAGGCATGCCTACCAGTGCCTTGTTTGCTTAATGATCTTCTCCTTGGGACTGGAGCTGTAATAAATGTATTAGGACCAACCAACCAAGCGCTGGACAAATGTGCAAGCTTCAGAGTTCCCCAGAACTATTCAACAGGCATGCCTACCAGTGCCTTGTTTGCTTAATGATCTTCTCCTTGGGACTGGACTTAAGTGCTGCATATCTCACGGACACACCGCCTGGCCAATCCTTTTAACATTCCTCCCGATATCCCTTATTTTGAAATCCTACTTAGGTTGATGAAGAGACCTGAAGCATCTGAAAACTTGCATGCTTTTATGACATCCCTTATTTTGAAATCCTACATAGGTTGATGAAGAGAGCTGAAGAATCTGAAAACTTGCATGCTTTTATGACATTTTACTTGCTCCTAACAAAGACATTTGCACTGGTGTGGTGTAATGGATAGGACAGACGGACTGGGACTCTGGTAGAACAGGGTTCGAATCCCGATTCAGCCATGGAAACTGACTGGGGAAACGGAACTCCTTAAATATCTCACTTACCTTGAATGCCCTATTAGGGTCGCTATACGTCGGTTCCAGCTTTTATTTTTATAGCAAATGTGTTAGACTTCGAGGTGTCACCCGAGTTTTTGCAATGATAAACAGGGCTGGATGCAGTTTGCCGGCCAACCTGTTCAGAAATGGAGGACAGACTGACTCCCAGGTATTTCTGACCTGATTCAGTTTCTCTTTCTCACCTGTTTATAGATGCTGCTGAAACAAATCAACAAGACCCACCCATCTGAGGAAGGTAAGAGCTGGAGAAGGGCTTGATCAAGGTCTTCCTGCTAGACATGGTGGGGTTGGGGGGGGGCGGGATTTGCAAAATAAGGTAAACCTTATTTTAGGCAGACTTAACAGAAGTGTTGTCTCCAAATCCCAGGAGGTATTTACTGGTCCCTGCCCTTTGGCACAGGTTAGGTCTCATCTAGAGTCCTGTGTCCAGTTCTGGACAGCACACTTTAAGAAGGATGCTGACAAACTGGAGCAAGAGAGAGAGAGAGAGAGAAATTTCCCCGCTGTGAAAAGTGCCATTTCCAGCATAGAGAAGATTACGTCGTACCTATCTTCAATAAAGGGAGAGCAGGCTTTTGTAAACTTAATGGCCTTTAATTATTGATTCAAGACCACACCACCTTAACTTTTCTTTCTTTCTTTTTTGTATTAGAGCAGAAATATATTGTTCCCAAGGAAACCTATTTCTGCCCCAGCGATTCTGCAGTTGAGCTTAAAGGGAACAGAAAAGCCTGGGAGGAGGGTTGGATGATGTCACAGCTCCAGCTCATCAGAAAATCCCCCCCCCCCCCCGTGTGTTGACCCTGAATCTGTCACACTGCTGAAGGCAACCCTAATTCAAACACTCAAAGCCCTGGGCTTGGGTGAAAGAATCTGCCCGTTTCGGTTTCTCCGAGGTTGTTTTTCGACGACAAGTTCTTTCATTTCCCGCATAGAAATGTTTGCAAAATGGGGCACAGCCTTGTCAAAAGCGAATTATCATAAACCTCTCACCCTGACAAGGAGGATGGTGAAATAAACTTTGTGGAATAGGCAGTAGAGATGGGGGTTATTCATATTTGGTCAGGAAGAAGTAGGAAAAAGGTAGGGGAAGGGCAACAAACCAGGAGAGGGGTATGATAATCATCCTGAAAATAAAATAAAATAAATCAGTGCTTCAAATTCAATTCATGCCCAACCTGTTGAAGGAGTCCCGGGGGGGGTGTCAGAAGGGGGCCTTAAAGGACGCAAGATGTCCCCAAAATGTTGCTTCCTTCTCCCACGATTTGCCCCAATGTCAGAGCTGGCCCGTTTTTCCTTTGAATGACTGGGCAGCTTGAAGACGGAAATCAAGAAGGTAAGCCAGCTGGACCGTGGTTTAACTCTCTGACTGCAGAGCTGGACGTTGGGTGTTCGATTCCCCCCACTGGGCTTCCAGGGAGAAGCGCCAGCCTGGGTGACCTTGGGCAAGCTGCACAGCAGTCCCAGGGAAACCCAGAAGTAAAGAATGATAAAACCACTTCTGAGTATTTTTCTACCAAAAAAAGAGGGTTGCCATCAGTCGGAATTGACCTGACATCACATGGTTGTTATTATTATTAGAAGTGGCACAAATACAGTGGTGCCTCGTTAGATGATGATAATCCGTTCCACTGAAATAGCTGTTTAGCGAAATCATTGTCTAGCGAAAAGCATTTCCCCATTGGAATGCATTGAAACCTGTTTAATGCATTCAAATGGGGAAGGATCGTCGTTGTCTAGCGAAGATCGGCCATAGGAAAGCCGCTTTGCGAACCTCCGATCACCTGTTTAAATTGCTGTTTTGCGAAGCTTAGGTCCCGAAAACACCTGTTTTGCGAGCGCAGAGGAAGCTGTCAAAATCGTTGTCTAGCGAAAATCAGTTTGTGAAGCAGGGACCATACATTGTCCAGCAAAATTCCCCCATAGGAATCACTGTTTTGCAAATCACTGTAGCGATCGCAAAAAGCCAATGTCTAGCGAAAAAAACTGTCATGCGGAGTAACTGTCTAACGAGGCACCACTGTAGTGAGCATGGAAGGAGGTGTAACTCAGATCATCGCCTGCCCCAAATTTGGAACCAGGCCGAGAGGCGGAAATGCTTGACTCATGAAACCAGTACCTTTCCCCCCACAGTGGTCCGGTTCTTAGACGTCTATAACCGCAGCAGCTGCCAGCCAAAGGAGACCATGGTGCCTGTGACGGTCGAGCACCCGTATATGGTCAACCACATCGTCATGCCCTCGTGTGTAGCCCTGAAGCGTTGCGTCGGCTGCTGTGCAGACGAATCGCTCGAATGCGTGCCTGCCCAGACCCGGGACTTGGTCATGGAGGTAAACCGGATGGGGTGTGGCCAGTCGGGCAAAAAATCAGATTAGACTGTTGCGCAGAAAGAGACATTAGAGGTATCCCATCATTAGAAGAGAAAAAATCCTTAACTTATTAAAGCATCTGAGTGTCACGGAAGGATATTATCCTCCCTCCATGAGTCAGTGGTATAGTGATACATTTGGAAGCATGGGTCCTCATCATGTCAGGCCCTAAAGCCTGCTGCCTCGCATAATGAGAATCCAAGCATGTAGGCACCAGACTCAGGCTGTATCATCAAACAGGCAGCTGGTATCTTTGTAAAGTCAATGGGTCTTGATTGCCCATTCCAGACCTAACCCCTTACACTAGTTTGCATTATAACATGGATAGCTTGCAACAATACCTATTCCTATGAAAATCCATCTTTTTCAGGTACTGTACAATGAGGATTATAGCTGACCTTCCATCGGCAGGCAAATTTTCTCTTTGGACTGCCTTTCTTCCAATAATTGGCTGCCTATACCTCTTTCTAATTTTTTCCATGTGCTGTTAAAACTGTTTCAAACTGTTTTTACGGTCTCATCTTAATAGGGTGCCGATTTAATGTTTTTTTTTAATGGTGCAATAATTTACTGGCCGAAATCCTGTTCAGCAGCTACGCCTGCATAATTCAGCATTGCACAAACAGTAGGCTCTAATTGTGCCAAGCCAGATGTCCTGTTACAACCAAAATATCAACATCAGATTCAATCATAGGCAGAAGCCCACCCTAAGACATTAGCCTAGAAGATATATATGAAAATCTAGGCTAATGGTAACAAAACAAAGACAATTATCCCATAAGCAGCAGGTCATCAGTAATTAAAGGTAGGACTGCTGGATAGCTCAAGGGTTGAGATCTCTGGCTGTGCAGCCAGAGGTTAGGAGTTCGAATTCCCCACTGGACCTCCTTGACTCCATGATCCATTCTAGCCCGTCTAGCTCTGGAGTTCTAGGGTTATTATTATTATTATAAATAAGCTTAAGCAGGTGTGCGACTGTAGAAAGCCTGGGTAAAAAGCGACATCTTTGCTTATTTCCAGAAAACAAAGACCCTTGGGGTCCTCTTGGGGAGAAAGGCAGGGTGCAAATGCTAAAAACTGAAATGAAATTGACATGAAAAAGCGATGCCCTCGTCAGGGTGGATCTGATTTATATCGAATCGGTTTAAGTCACAGTTTAAATCACGGTAGGGTGGACCAAAAGCAATTATTTTAAATGTATAGTTTTAAGAAAATTAAAAAATACAGGTTTTTTAAAAAATGAAAGCAGATTTTTAATTTAAAAAAGAAATCACTGATTTTTTTCCTGCACCCTGCCCAGTTCTCCACTCTATGGCTACTGAGAGGCTACAGATTAACTTGCTTTCTTTGATTATTGATCCTCCGGACTTAAGTGCCAAAATCCTTTAAAGTTTGAGTTCAAAAATGCAGAAAGACAGCTCTCGGTTTCCTATCTGCAAGAAGTTCTCAGCTGTGCTTCTGGGCTATCTTGAATATCTGTTTCTGGGTTGAGTCATACCCTGCAAGGTAATTTTTGTATCTTTTAAACATTCTCTTCTTTTCTCTTTAGGTAATGCTAAGTTTATTCCCTCACCATCATCTAAATCGACTGACTTTTGTGGAACACACAGCGTGTATATGCAGGTGAGCACCACTGAGGTAGGCATGAACACACACACACACCCCACACACACAACAAAAAAGTAGGAAGGAAATGCGGAATCTCCTGGAACACACACACCCACACACCCACACACACAACAAAAAAGTAGGAAGGGAATGCGGAATCTCCTGGAAAAAAAAGTTTATGCTTTCAAAGAAAGGAAAGTGAATCGGGCTGCAGCCCTTGTTGGAAGGGGAGCTTGCTCTGATGCAGAACGTATTTCATTTTAAAAAAACTGAATGAGGAAATTATTTATCAATCATTGCAACACTCATCAGCAAGGCTACTGGAAAAGCAGGAGTAATTTTAATCATAAATATAGTTTTGTTTTATTTATTTTTAATGTGTAATTTATTGTGTATTTAATTTTACTTGTTTTCATCTCGCAAGCTTCCTCAAGTTCCCTCATCGGCTGCAACGGACGCTAAATAAATAAAAGCGAAAATGAGGGAAACGGACAACAATTGAAGCCGCGGCACGTCATTTACTAGGATCCCCGTCCCAATTACTACTCCCATCTGATGATTAAAAAAAAAGGGGGGGAGGGATTGGAGTTGAAGTCACACACACCCCTTTTGATTTGGGGCCCAAATGTTGTTATGTGCCCTCAAGTCGCCCCCAAAATGTCCCGTCCTCAACAGCCCCGCTTTGCTCTTCTAACTCAGTGGCTTCCTCTTTTCCTGCTGCCTTCAACTTTTCCTAGCATTATTGTCTCTTCTGGAGAATCTTGCCTTCCCGTGAGGTGCCCAAAGAAGGGCAGCCTCCATTTCAACATTTTTTGCCTCCAGAGATCATTCAGGCTTGATTTGATCAAGGATCCACTTGTTTGTCTTTCTGGCATTCCAAGTTATCTACAAAGCTCTCCTCCAGCACCATATTTTGAATAATTGTCGGCTTTCTTTACTGTCCAGCTGTCACACCCGTGTGTGGGGCCAAACATGTGGGTTCTTTCCCCACCAACAGGGATGGTTAGAGACGGATTTGAGGGGACTTTCAAATTCCTCTGGTGGCCATTCCTTGGTTGAGGGCCTCAGATTATGACGGTCCCCTAAATACTCAAACCATCAGTACCCTTTCATCATAAACTTGACACAGCTTAATGTCTTAATCCAGCTTTAAGTAAATGGAATGCTTACTGAGCAACTGGTTAAGAATTGTCTGCATTATTTCATTTTTTGTTTTTGTTTTGAGAGAGTCGGAGAAGCTTGTAAATGGAGAGACGGCACGTGGAAGGAATAACTTTAAGGGTTCTCCAGCCATCATCCTAACCAGGTTTAGTTGAAGGCCCTTGGCTATAAATTGCCTCTGACAGGGTGTAACAGAAATAAGGATAAAACGAATGTAGGAGCATGTGATACCTTTTATTAGACCACTTTAAAAAAAACCCAAGTACAGTAGGACCACTGTATTGGTAGAAGATATAAAGTTTGCATATCCGCTGTTCTCGGCATCCACGGGAGGGGGTGGGGCTTGGAACCGATCCCCCACAGATACCACAATCCTACTGTAGAACACCAGCTTTCAAAGCTAATTCATCTTCTTCAGGCTGTGCACAACATCATGTGTATAGTTCCTAAAAATTACATATCAGAGTCCCCAAATATCAAGGCACGGCAATTGTTCATGCCAGGCAAGTTTATTTATAAGTATATATAAACTTATATATAATTATATATAAACTTGGCATATATATATTTCGCCTCTTGTGAGGAGAGCTACCCTTCTGATGTAAAGACATCAAACCAGAAATGTATTTAGAGGCTGATCCCCCTTCTTGACAATTGTGGGCTTACATGATACAAGAGATAGCCAGGTTTATATGAGGTATCATTCTTCTAAAAAAGCATTACCTCAAGATTCGGAAATAAATTCAAATACACTGTGTGCTTGGGTATCAAAATGAAGATGTCCTCATAGGACCTGTTGATCACACTGGATCTATACGAACGCGACAAAACAGGCTCCAGTTTCGCACCAGATTAAGGCTTCCTGCCCAGAAATCCAGAGAGCTGTAGTTTGGTTAGGAACGTTCATCAGTTAATTCCTCTAGACCGAACAGCTTTTTCCCAAAGTTTGCCTAGAAGAGCGCAAAGAATTGCATCTGATGGGCATACGTGGATACCTGTGAAGGCTGTTCGGCTGCCTGGATAAAAGAGGCCAAATTAATGAGAATTTGTTGTCATTTATAGGTTACCTGTCGTGTGCGTGAACTTTTTCCTTCCCCAAACAACAAGGCGTTCACCCTGTTTTCTCTCTTCTTTTCAGATCAAAGAAGACATTTTTAAGACCCCACACAATCAGGTAAACAAATCCCCTAGTGAGCCTCACAAGACCTGAATGAAAGACACATAAATATAGGGAAACTGTCGTGGAAAAAAAATGAGGACAATTTGGAAAGTCTCTTCCTCATGGTCATGGGTTTCTAGTCTGGAAGAAGCCCTGTTGGGTTTTTCCGGACTGTATCCTTCACCATACCTCTTACGTTCACACAACACCCACGATGGGTTTCTAGTCTGGAAGAAGCCCTGTTACCTCTTACGTTCACACAACACCCACAGATTGGGAGAAAGGGCTTTTCCAAGAGTTATAGGCCAGAGAAGAGAGCTCACAGCATCTGTGGACCTGTGGAACTGACGGCCACATGAATGCCATCCGAGGGCAGCAGTTTCTGGCACTTCAAACAAAAGCCATTGAAAGGATGGCAGATCTGTTGCGCTTGCCCATTGCTCGGGCCAAACATGATTTTTTCCCCTCTCTCTCTCTCTCTCTCTCTCTCTCTCATTATCTCATGCTAGGCCGGCTTGCAGGCCCTGCCTGGACAGGAAGAGGCAGTTGAATCCACGGACATGCCAATGCATTTGCCGGCTGGAGCCGGAACACTGTGAGGCTCGAGGTCTGAAGTTCAACAAGGGGTCTTGCAGGTAAGGGTTCTCCCACCCGGCATCCTCACAACCTCCTAACTCAGCGGCTTCCTTTGTGGACTGGAAGGGTGTCCAAAACACCCACACAATCCTATCCTCTTTCCCTGGCCTTAGGAACCTTCTTAATGCTGATTGATTGACTGACTGACTGACTGACTGACTGACTGATTGATTGATTGATTGATGATTGAGTGTGTGTGTGTGTGTGTGTGTGTGTGTGTGTG